CTTAGCAATGCTACTGGGGTGCTGAGCTCCCCTAGCCTGCTTTATTTGTCTTTATGCAAAGACCATACCAGTGCAGTGCTACCACTTGAATTGAGTTTGCATTTAAGACCTGAACAAGCTAAGATATACTTTGTTTAGAAAGGTAAATATAACCCTACAGCATAAATGGGAGAATCAGCTAATTTCAAAGCATTACAAAAATCCTCTTATAAAAAAAATCACCATCACTGTGACATGTTGTTGTGTTTATATGACCCTGTGATTCCAACTAAGTCTACATTTCTTTGTGGCAGTCCTGGGACTTGAACTCAGGGTCTGGGAACTGTGTCTGAGCTTCTTTTCTACAAGGCTAGCACTCTATCACTTGAGCCACATCACCACTTCAACTTGTTTCAAAGCATTATGGAACTGTTTATTTTCCCCAGACCAAAACAGTGTAACAATGAGATCCTGTTGCACTAATGTTATTTTATTACTTGAACTGAATCTACCTTTAAAAGTTTTCTGAGCTAAAACAGAGCATTTTTTATAGGCAAATATGTCTCTATGGTCTAAATGGAAGAACTGACTAATTTAAAAGCAATACAAAACTGCCCTTATGCCATCATCATGCCAGAGAGACCCTGTTGCCTTCATGTTATTCTACTACTTGAGCTGAACTACCTTTAAGAGCTCATCCATGGAAGATGTACTATTTTGTGTTTAGAAGCAACTAGATCCCTATGACCTGAATTTGAGAATTGGCTAATTTCAAAGCATTACTGACCTATTCTTCTATAAGTAGAATACTAGCAATATCTTTGTGTACTCATTTTGTTCTACTTACATTGAGTCAACCTTTAAGAGTTCATTCAGCTAAGATATGCTGTTTGAAGTTTATATTTACATATGTAACATACTTGAATAAGCAGATGCTTAGCAGTTTCCATGAAAAGAACATACTAGCAAGATACTGCTGCTTTATTATTCTCATGTCAGTGGACTCTATTTAAGAGCTCATTCAGCTATGATGCACCATTTTGTTTACAGAGCAAATAAATCCTTGTGACATACATGGGAGCTGTATCAGTATTGCTGGCCTGTTTCTATGGGGCTGGGGGTCTGTGGGCCATGTCAACAGGATGGACTTTGGCAGGACACTTGGTTTGTAGGACTAGGTCTATGTGGCCAGTGTCTGTCGGGCATACATTTATGGGGTCTGAGTCTCTGGGGTCTGTATCAACAAAATCAAATTCTGTTTGTTCTGAGATTATGTGCATGGATCTGTGCAACTCATGTCTACATGACTAAGTTTTGTGTAGTCAAGAATATGCACCAGAGCTGGGAAGGTGGCTCAGTGGTAAAATGTTTGTCTTGCATATATGAGGCTCTGTATTTGATCCCTACCACCACATAGGCAGAAAAAGCCAGAAGTGCCACTGTGACTCAAGTGGTAGAGTGCTAGCCTTGAGCTGAATAGTTCAGGGACAGGGCCCAGGGCCAGTGTTCAAGCTCCATGACCGACAAAAAAAGAGTATACACCAATGTCTGTGAGACAGACTCTGCCAAGCAGGAGTATGTAGGGCCTCTGTCTATTTTGTCTGGGTCTGCGGGGCTGAGTGTACTCAGTGGGCATCTTTTTTTTTTTGGTTTATTTTTTAAATATATGTTTCTTATTGTGAAAATACTGTACTGAGTGGTTACAATTACAAGTAAGGTAATGAGTACATTTCTTATCAAGCATTGTTACCTCCTCCTTTGTTTTTCCCCTACCATCCCTTTCTTCTCACCTCAACAACTACACTCCCCCCCCCCCATCTAAATTGTAAAGTTTGTTTTTCAACGTAGTGTCTTGTGCATCTCATTGTTACCATGGGTCAACCTGTATCCTTATTTAAGCATTTTGTTTTTTTCCTTTCCCCTCCCCAAATTAGAGAAGTGTATATAGAAGATGGAGGGAACCAACATCAAATACAGTGTAAACAGGGGTTATACCACGGGGGAGAGGCTCTCTGTGCTCAAGGCTACAGCTCTACTACTTGAAGCACAGTACAGCTTCTGTTTTGGAGATAAATGTCTCAGGAACTTTCCTGTCCAGGCTGGCTTTGAACCATAATCCTTAGATCTCAGCCTCCTGAGTAGTTAGGATTCCAGGGATGAGCCACCAATGCCTGGAAATGGCTAATTTTCAAGAAGCTCTAAATGTTTGGAAATGAAACACAAAAAAAGGAGTTTGTAAGGTCCCAGTGGGTCAGGGCTATAATCATATTTGCTCAAGAATCCAGGAACTCAGAAGCTCAGTTCAGAGCCAATTCAGGCAGGAAGGCCTTCGAGTCTCTGACTTCCAATTAACTATCAAGAAAACTGGAAGTGATCTGCAGGAAAAGTAATGGAGCCCTAACCTTTAGCACCCAGTCCTTGAGTTCAAATCCCTGGCCTGAAAAACACATTTTATTAAAATGAAGTTTTATTTGCAACATAGGTTCAATTCCAATATAGGTCTTGTGACTCTCATTGTTGAAATGGGTCATCCTGTGACCTTGTTTCAGCATTTTGTGATGGCCCTTGCCCTCCCAAAATTAGAGAAATGTATATACAAGATGCAAGGTAACAAAATCAAATACAGTAACAACAGACATATACTACAGAAAAGAAAAGAAGAAAAAAATCGCATGGTACATTAAAAACAACAACAAAGAAAAATATCTTGTGTCTGTATCTTGGGCCTCATTTTGTGTAGCATCATGTTGTTGTTGGTACACTTTTGTTAGTTTTATTACAAAATATCACTAAGAATGACAATTTTCAATCCGGGTCTTTTTTTTGGTTTATTCAACTCACTCTGGCACCCAGCCCAGTCACCCCAATATCAACCCTGAACCTCTGACAGGCAATTCCCAGCACACGAACTCCAAAGCCAGCTATGCATGTGAAGGGCTTACCTTTAAGGGCTCACCCGCGGTACTGTTCTCAAACCCCAGTGAACCACCACGAAATGAACATCTTCCCACCAGCTCCAGGGTCGCGGCTCCCTTCCTTCCAGCTCACTCTCATCCACAAGGGCACAGTCAGGCCAAAGAGCTGACTTTGACAGCAAAGTCTGTGAGGCTTCTATCTCCAGAAAACCAACAGAAATCTGGAGGCAGAATTGTGACACAAATGGTAGAGTGGCAGCCCTAAGGAGAGGAGTGGAGAGGGGAGAGTCAGGGAGGACACCAAGGCCTTGAGTTCAAGTCCCAGGATTGGCACACACACACATTACAAGTGGAAATACAAAGGAGAGAAAGCTAAGGCATTGAATGACCCTTACTGGCAATACACCACCATCACCCTGAAACACTCCCCGGACCCCAGGGAAGCCGTTCCTCCATACCTCCGTGTCCCCTCCAGACCAGCCAGACACCTAAGGGACTCACCTCAGACAAAGTCCGCCGCCCTTCCTCTCAGCAGCACACCTGCGCAAACCCCACTGCTTCCTGCACCCCGTGTGCTGGGGTCTGGCCGTCCTGCAGGCTCCACGCCGGGCAAGGCACGGGAGGATCCGCTGCCCGGCCTGACAGCAACCATGGCGGAGACAGGCGCCAAAAGACCTCGGAGGCCGCGCGGGGCGGCACAGCCAGGCCCGAGCCCCAGAAAGGACGTCCACAAGTTCCCGCTGCACACAAGGCCTTGCGGGGTTTCCTGACAGGCCTCCCTTCCCTACGGCGGCCCTTCCTCATCGCTTCCCCCAGGACAGCACCTCAGCGCCAACTTCTCTGCTCCAGACCCCTGTCTCTCCCAGAAGCTGCAATGGCGGTCCCGGAGGTCCTGGATTGCCAGTCTGAGCATGCACACCAGCCATCCTCCCACTGCGCATGTCCATGTGCGACTCCAGAGGGGCTGAGGCCTTGTCTCAAAATCTAAGGCCCTGGGGTTAAGAGTCCCTGAAACTCAGAACCCGGATTCCTAAATCACAAAGATCACAGGCCTGTGCCTCAGATGGCCAGCTCACAGCGTCTTTTTCATACAGATTTTGATGAATTTCCTTATGTTTTCTTTATAGATACACACACACACACTCAAATATATATTAATCTGTTTTTAATCAATGGTATATTTACACAAAACTATATATTTATATATTGATAAGCAATGTTCTATAAGCATTTTCCCCAAAAATGTTTTAGTACCCAGGTATTCTGTGACTTAGGCCTTGCCCTGGGCTATTTGTTTACAATTATTTTTCAGACCAACTGTTGAGTTTTGGCCTCCGACTGGCATTCAATTTCAAGTTCCTCATTTCTGTCTTCCCAGTTTCTCTGATTGATTAGAAGTGTGCAGCTCTACCACCAGGTTTACAAAACAACAATTATATAAATAGAATAGTTCTTGAAACACCAGTAGAAATGCAGAAGTCATGTACCATATCTCGGAGGTATGCATGATGGAGAGCTCACATTTTATATAAACTTGAATCCCTAGACTCAGATTGTAAAGCTAATTGGGTAGCACTTCAATAGCTTGTATATGTCTGGGTTCCAGACTCAAACAACAACAAACAACACTCCAGGATCTTCAATTGTCTCAGGCTGACAAAATTCTTTTCTTGTCACATTGAAGTCACACTTCAAACCTTTGCTATGAACCATTTATTTGATTTCTTAGAAAATCAGGTTTAAAAAAGATTCCTGACTGCATGCTGTGGATCTCGCCTGTACTGCTAGCTAGTCAGGAGGCTAAATCCGAGGATCATGGTTCAAAGCCAGATCAGGCAAGAAAGTCCATGAGACTCTTCTCTCCAATTAAGCACCAAAAAATGGAAGGGCAGCTGTGACTGTAAGTGGAAGAGCATTAGCCTTGTGCAAAAAAAGCTCAGAGACAGTGTCCACAACATGAGTTCCAGCTCCACAACCAAACGGAGAGAGGAAAAGCGAGAGAGAGAGACAGAGACAGAGACAGAAAAAGAGACAGAGACACACAGAGAGAGACAGAAACAGACAGAGATTGACAGAAAGAGAGACAGAGACAGACAAACACAGAAAGACAGACAGGAAGACTGAGAAATCACTGACAACTCCATTTAGAAAAATGTATATGGATATCTAAGATGTATATCCTATTCTTCCACAATTCACTACATAGTACCACCTCATCCTGATCCACATTTGGCTACTTGGAATCCATTTGGTGTTTCATAAATTATTCCACATGCTCCCATAGAACATAAACAGGCCCACACCTACTCACCAATGGTTTATTATAAGTCTGGCCTTTTTGCTTAAATATGTAATATTCCCATTTGTATGTTTTTCTGTTTTCATGGTTTAAAGCTACCATTCCCCACATTTCACATCTAGATGTCTTCATCTTTTGTGCCAGTAGTGGAATATGAACTCAGGGCCTAAAGCTCCTGCTCACTTTTTGTTCCATGTTTAAATATGTAACTTCAACCATGCTATGAGTTCCTGATTTTTGCTGGCTCATTAGATAAGTCTTTCAGATTTGTCTACAGGGGCTGATTTGAACCTTGAGGAAGTATAGGGCATTCTTGAAGCTACAATTATTGAGATGGGCCAGGACACCTGGCATGTCTTTGTCCCTCTGGCTAAATCTTCTGTCTTCTATTGATGATGGCTATTACCGATTTCCTATGTATTTTGTCAAATACTTTTCCCTCAAAGTAACATTTTGGTGGTATTTTGAGGTGAAATGTCCTTACATATTTGCACAGAGCAAAATGGGTGTGCGTACAGACTTGAATTCACTAATGGAAGAAAGTCCCACATACAGAACATTTAGTCTGGCATAAGTCTCAATAGACAGAACAACTTTAAAGGACATCTGGTTTGCTATGTCCTAGAACTTTAGTAATGGCCTGATCACCCCATGCAAGCATGGGTTGGGTTCCTTGCCCCTACAGTGCACTGAACAGTTCCCTTCATAGCCAGTAAGTGCTCTTGGACAGCTCCAGGTCACTATTTTGCCTTTACTCAGGACTCATGTGTCTGGGACATCAGAATGTATAAGAAAACAAACCACAGCATTTAGCCTCCATAAATTGTAAAACATAAACATATATATTTAATAAATTTAGAAGAATAAAAAGAATGAACATTTTACAACAATCAGGACAAAAAGAAAAAGACAGATATACCCAGGGAGAGGGGAGGGAAGCTCTAAGTCTAGGTTGGCTTCTAATTTGCCTTCAAACATAAATTCTGCCTCAGAATCCTCCAAGGGATCTACCTCCTCATGAAAGATTGGAGTTGCTCCTGCAATTGCCAGAGAGGCAGATTCTAATTTCTCTGTTGGAGATTGGTTCTGCTGCAGCAGGACTGATTTGTCCACATATTTTTTGAGGACAGATTCACTTTCCTGAGCTGCATCTAACTTTGGGACCTCACTTATTGGTTCCCCTGAACACAGACTGGGGACATTTTCCATCAGCCCCACGTGTGCTACTCCCTCCAGCACGCCAGGAGGAGTGCTGATTTGACCCTTTATGAGCTGATCTGGGCCGCCTGTGAAAGTCAGAGGAAGACAATCACTATTACTTTCTTCTTTCTTTGGGGTCCCTACAAGTTCAGCTCTGTCACATGTGGGGTTCAGAACCAGTGTCTTATCCACAGGACTCACAACCTTTTGGGGCCTGACTGCAAATGCATCCAACCCCTCTACATGCACATGCTTTGTGGAGTCCAGTGATGGCTCCAGATCTCCATCCATCACCATCCCTGACATCACCGAGGGCAACTTTCTTGGCAGGTCAGGAGAAGCTGCTCTATGGCAGCCAAAACCTGAGAAAGAGAAATAGGTAAAGGAGTTTGACAGTGGATTCTGGATGTTAAGGTGGAGTTCAATTTCCATGAGGCTCTAATGGAGGAAGCTGTACAAGTTTACTTTGGACTGAACACTGATGAGAAGGTAAGGTCTTTCCCAAGAGTGGCTAAGCGCAAGTGCTTTCACAAATAGAACCAACACTGCCTGGCAGATAGTATCATAAAAAGACATTCTTACAACCTGGGGGGTAATAAGGGCTCTCAGGCAATTAGGATCATCCCTAGAGGCCCAGGCGCCATCCCTACTCACAAGCTCTGAGGTGACCACACAGGGACTTCTTCCTCTGTGTCTTGGTCTCATTCCTCCCGCTCTTCTCCAGCTCATCCAGATAAACGTGGAGATGGAGGACCAGATCTGAGGAGGGCATGTGGAGCATGGCATAGTGGGTAAGTTCTTTTACCGGGTGTCGGTTCTGGGGCTCTCGGAAATCTGCAGGATAGCAGTCCATCCACATGGTGAAGATGCAACAAAGGCTGCTGTGGGCAGATTGGTGACAAGAAGAGTGAGTGCCTGCCCTCCCGATCCTGGGCCTCCCATAGCCCCTTTCTGCAAGCACTGCTATATGCACACTTGCATGCTGGGAAGCAGGAGGAGACTCCTGCAAGCCGGCTGATCTTCACCACCCAGGTCTAGAAGCTTCTGAAAGATAATTCTCCAATATTCTCACTGTGATAGGTAACAAGAAGGAACTGATTTTGTACACACAGCCCTCCCTGTCATCCCTGAGAGTTCACAACCACACCACAGCTGTGTCCTCTGCCACCACTCCAATCCCAAGCCTCTGCCTCTAGTGGAAAGCACAAGTGATGTGCAAATGAGAAATCTGCACTTTGAATCAGAAGCCTCAAAGATACCATTTTAAACCAAGGGGCCTTCTTTGTGCCACAGTCCACTTACTTCTTTGCTTGTCCATCTTCCTCAGAGTTACGGCCCGGGAATCTGTACCTATGGGAGGACAGGAGGAAGTCACCTCTCAGATTCTCCTTTTCTGCCCACACAGGACACATATGGGATGGGCTCATTCCCATATGGGAATGGAATCTGACACATAAATGAGATACAGTTCAGTATATAAGAGACTTATATGCATTGGTCCAAGGTAAATGTGACAGTGCTCATGCCTCTAATCCTATCTAATCAGGAGCATGAGATTTCAGGTGCACAGTCTGATCAGACATTAGTCAGTAAAAGTCTAAGGACATTAATTTTTAAAAGGCCAGAATTGCACCTATGGTTCAAATGCTGTAGTGGTAGCTCTGAGCACCAAAGAAACAGCACCAAGATGCTGAGTTTAGGTGGAAGGACTAACACACACACAAAAACATAAAAGCTTCAGGGGTTATAAACATGTAAAGCCAACATAATCCCTCCTTGAAATCTCTGTGTTGATTCAGCCTCCAGTTCACCCGCCTCCCCCACACCCCAGCCTTTCCTGGGTCTATATTATTCACAGACATCCAATTGCTAATGGAACCTTATTTACTCATGGGAAATGTGATTTCCTAGAACCTCACCTAGGTGAGGGCAGAAGTTGGGTGCCATGGGCACATGCCTGTAATCCTAGCCCCTCAGTAAGCAAGCTTCTGAGGTTCCAGTAGCTTTTCTGGGAAATGTCCTGGGCAGACCGCTACTAAGAAACTATGCAGGGTATACACTTCTTTGTCTCATGCCAAGCTCCTGTGAGAAGACCCCCATGAAATCAACAGGTTCAGAGGGGTGCCAAGTATTCCACAACTCAGCCAGGAATAGCTGAACCGTCCCGGTTTTGAAGGGGGAACACTCACTTTTTGAACACAATATCTAGCACTTGCTCCATTGTTGCCCACTGTCTATAATTGTGGAGGAAGTTTCCAACATAGAAGAGATCGCCTTTCTGGTAGGCAGGGACCAGATTCATCACCAGCATGCCCAGCAGGCCTGCCTCCGGGCTCCATATATGGCATGGCACATTCAGGGTCAGGGCTGACGCATTAGCACACTAAGGCGAGACAAAGAATCAGAAAAAAACCATGGAAATGAGACCACTTCCAAACGAGTAATTGTGATAGAGTGGATTGAAAACTATGCAGACAGTATTATCTCAGTAAACCCAAATCACATAAGAAGGTTCTACTGTGGACCAGATTTGGGTTAAGTAGGTTTTCTATCATGAGTATACCTTGCCTGAGTTGCCTTGTGATTTCCTAGGTTTCTTTTTGGACAAATCTCTGAGATGGTTGGTTCGTGGCTTGCCACTGATCCAGTGTCTACAGCTTTGACTGAGGCCAGAGTCTCGAGACCTGCGAATACAGCACAAGAACATGTTTCTGGTTCCTGAGTCACAGGCCAAGTGAGCTGGCTTGAGCCAACTGTGAGTTACCGTGGCCTGCTATCAGGGTTCCATGTTCTATTCCATTGTGAAGGAGGCAGGGTCACCTGTCAGGGCCCAATGACCTCTGTCCCTTCCTTACCCAAGAAATACCCCCCCCCCCCCAATATGGCTAAGTGTACATGTAGACAGAGTTAACAGCACACCTTGTTTGTCCAAACCTAATCTGCTAGCCCTAGGTTCTGGCATGTTCTCTGCTTCCAGGAGTCACTCCTAGGTCACATTCATGGCGTATCTGTCACTATTCCTCTTATCAGGCTCAAATTATTTTGCCTCTCAAGGCCTTCTGTGACTGCCACATCCTTCTGGCACATATTTTGACATCAACATCCTAGGTCATTGTTTACTTTCTGTAGCCTAATCTGTTTGTCCTTGGAACCCCTCTCTGGTGTCATCTGGAGCCAATGCAAATACTTAGAGATGGGAAATTGAAAGGAATCTTGGAAAACATACATTACATATATAATCAGCCTTTATTACAGGTGTCTATTTTTTTGGCCATTTCTGTGGCTTCACTTCAGCCTGGGCACTCCCCTGAGCTCTTTTGCTCAAGCCTAGCACTCTACCACTTGAGCCACAGCACCACTTTGGCTTTTTCTGTGTATGTGGTACTGAGGAATTGAACCCAGGTCTTCATGCAAGGCATGCTAGGCAAGCACTCTACCACTGAGCCACCTTCCCAGCCACAGGTGTCCATTTTTGGAAGTGAGAAAATTTTTTTTTATACTTGAAATATTTCATGGAGGCAAGCAGAGAAAGGAAGAGCTGCTGCATTGTCTTTTTATGATGACTAGGATTTGTTTTACTATAGCTTTGAAGGAATGTAGTATTTAAGGTAGAAAACTGCTCCTTTACGTCTTACAAGCTAATCGTTTATATAGTCATTTGCCTCTGAAGTCTTTGCTTCTGTGTCCCATGATCTATCCTCCTCCCTCAACACAAACGGGAAGAAGAATTTCACACATTGCTGAGCTGTTGTCCAGTCTCTGCATAGGAATTGAAAATACAGTATTTACTGTGGGTTCTGTGCCTGTGTGTGTGTGTGTGTGTGTGTGTCTGTGTGTGTGCATTTCTGATCTTGGACCCTTTGCCTTATCCCTGAGCAATTTTCCTCAAAACTAGTGCTTTACCACCTGAGACACAGGTCCACTTTGAGCTTTTTGTAGTGAGCTGGAGATGAGAGATTCATGGAACTTTCCTACCCAGCATGGACATTGCTCCTCTTCAGCCTCATCTTTCCTCAACTGTGGCAATGGCTGTTCAGTTTCTGGATTTCCCATCCAAGCACAGACACAAGCCATCCTCCACTGCACATGTCTCTTTGTGTCCCTTGAGAGGCTCAAGTCTTCTCTCAAAACTTAGTGCCCTGAGGATAGAACCTCTGAAACTCAGAACCAAGTTTCCTGATTAATTGGGATCACAGGCCTGAGCTATATATGAACAGCTCATTACCTGCCATCGCACATTTTTGGGGGGATGGGGGATTGTTTGTTGGGCTTGAACTCTGGGCCTGGACCCTGTCCCTCAGCTTTTCAGCTCAAAGCTAGGGCTTTACCACCTTGAGGCACAGTACCACTTCTGGTTTTCTGGTTGCTTCTTGGGAGATCAGAGTCTCATGGATGTTCCTGCCTGGCTGACTTTCCGCTGTGATCCTCAGATCTCAGCCTCTGGAGTAGCTAGGATTATAGGCATGGGCCACCAGCGTCCAGCACATGACCCCTTTTTGCAACAGCATTTGGCGAATTTAACTATGTTGACTTGAGACAGATATACCTACACAATATATGGGAATCAATGGTATATCACTGAATTTCCCAATAATGTCTTTTACATTAATGTTTTGTGAAACAACATATTCGAGACCCATAATACCATATGCTAGTCCTCCTATAAAATACATTCAAATATATGTATTATCATGTAGTATATTCTATATTTATATATATTATTTTATATATAATATGTAAGTGATGTATGTAGTGAACACAGAAAATAATCCCAATTTTGGAATTTAGCCTTTTCTGTCACAATGTTACCCAAGTCTTCTGTTAGACATGCAGATTTTCATCAACAATCTCCCTTGTTAGTCGTTTTTTAGTTCTTGAATAAATGAGTCTTCTTTACCACCAATAGTCTACACACAAAAATGATATGGATCAGTGTCTCTGGCTCAGGCCTGTATTCTTTGCTAGTCAGGAGGCTGAGATCTGAGGATCATGGTTCAAAGCCAGCCAGGTCAGGAAATGCTATCAGATTATCTCCAGCTGTAGCTCAAAGTGGTAGAGTGCTAGCCTTGAGTGAAAGAATTCAGAGACAGTGGCCAGCTTTTAAGTTCAAGCACCACCATTCTGTACACACACCACCTACACCACGCACTCTTCACTCGGTCCCTTCCTAAACCCTCAGTCCTCTTCACTGAACTGGTGATTGCCAGAGTTTCTGGATTTCCCACTCCAGCATGCCAACCAGACATGTTCCCTCTGCACATGCACCTCTGCCACACTGCAAGGCCCAGGCCTCCTCTCAGAATCTATTGTCCTGGGATAGAGAGCAGATGAAATTCAAGAATTCTCAGAACGTGTGCTTCAAGACAGGGAGACTAAGAACTGTTCCTCACCTGGTATACAGAGACACATTGATCTATTTGTGTAGAACAATGCCAACATGGTTAGAATTTAAGTTTTTGACTACCACAAACGACACCCTTTTCCAAATACTGTTAAATATTCCCTCAGATTTTCTTAAATGTTACATAAAAGTACATCTATTTACATGTTAGAGGTTGTAGCTTCTGATATAATGAACGGGAAAAGGCAGCCAAAATGACTTCTTACAGAGAAAAATGCCTAGCCCAAGTAAGCTAATATGTGCAGCAAGCTCATTTCCAGACCATTCTCCAAATGCAGGCATGAGTCTCTTATTGTGTCATCTTGATAACTTACAGTCCATATCCACCCTCATGCAGACTTAGAAAATCTTCATGAAAACCCAACGAAAGGAACATCTTAAGAGCATAAAACAGCACCAAATATTTAATTCTAGCTTTTAAAATTTATATGTTCTATATTTGCACAGTGCAGAATTGTTCACTGTTGGCAGAGAGCTTCAAACATCAACACATTTACCCGACTAGCTGGGAAGGGGAAGTTATCCCTAGTAAGAGGTGGGGGCTTGAGATTCAAGTGGGACAAGTTTTCAAAGACACCTGTTCTGATATAACACAGAGCTTTTGTCTCTCAGCATCAAGGGTCCTATCTCGGCACAGGCTGCATCCTCCACTGCCTGCATTCCTTGTGGCTCCCTCTAGTCACCAGTTCCTTGTAAATCCAGCAGATTTGTTCCCCAGATCCAGCACACTCTGCTTCCTCCCAATCAGGCCCCATGTGCCCAGGATATTAGATTGGAGGTAGAAAAGACCAGAGTATTTTGTATTCAAGAATTTTACAACATCATGTAAACATGGACATTTCAATACTGTTAAAACAATAAATAGTAAAACAGGCATTTGTCCAGAGAGGAGGGAGGCAAGATCTAACACACACACAAAAAGAGATTCCCTGACTGGACACTGTGGATCATGCCTGTACTGCTAGCTAGTCAGGAGTCTAAATGGGAGGATCATGGTTCATAGCCATATCTGTCAAGAAAGTCCTCTTCTGTCCAATTAACCACTAGAAAACTGGAAGGGGAGCTGTGACTCTAAGTTGAAGAGCATTAGCCTTGTGCAAAAAAAAGCTCAGAGACAGGTCCCACAACATGAGTTCAAGCTCCACAACAAAACAGAAGAGAGGAAGAGAGAGAGAGAGCGAGAGAGAGAGAGAGAGAGAGAGACAGAAAGTGACAGAGAGAGACAGAGACAGAGACAGAGGCAGAGGCAGAGACAGACAGAGACAGAGACAGAGACAGACAGAAACAGAGACAGAGAGAGAGACAGAAAGACAAACACAAGAAAACAGACAGGAAGACTGAGAAATCCCTTACCACTCCAATTAGAAAGTGAATATGGATATCTAAGATGTATTTCCTATTCTTCCACAGTTCACTACATAGTACCACATCATCCTGATCCACATTTGCTAACTAGAATCTATTTGGAGTTTCATAAATCATTCTACACGCTCCCATAGAACATGAACAGGCCCACACCTACTCACCAATGGTTTGTAAGTCTGGCCTTTTTGCTTAAATATGTAATTTTCCCATTTGTATGTTTTTCTATTTCCATGGTTTAAAGCTACCATTGCCCACATTTCATGTCTAGATGTCTTCATCTTTTGTGCCAGTAGTGGAATTTGAACTCAGGACATTGAGCTCTTGCTTACTTTTTGTTCCATTCTGAAACATGTAACTTCAGCCATGCTAGAACTTCCTGACTTTTGCTGGCTCATTGGATAAGTCTTTCAGATTTGTCTACAGGGGCTGATTTGAACCTTGAGGAAGTATAGGGCATTCTTGAAGCTACAATTATTGAGATGGGCCAGGACACCTGGCATGTCTTTGTCCCTCTGACTAAGTTTTCTTTCTTCTATTGATGATGGCTTTTACCTATTTCCCATGTATTTTGTCAAATACTTTTCCCTCAAAGTAGCTTTTTGATGTTATTTTGAGGTGAAATGTTCTTACATATTTGCACAGAGGAAAATGGGGGTGCGTACTGACTTGACTTCACTAATGGAAGAAAGTCCCGCATTTAGTACATTTAGTCTGACAGAACAACTTTCAAGGACATCTGGTTTGCTATGTCCTAGAGCTTTAGTAGTGGCCTGATCACCCCATGCAGGCATGGGCTGGGTTCCTTGCCCCTCACAGTGCACTGAACACTTCCCTCTATAGCCAGGTAGTGCTCTTGGACAGCTCCAGGTCACTCTGTCTTTTGCCCTTACTCAGGACACATGTGTCTGGGACACCAGAATGTACATTAAAAAACCCACAGTATTTAGGATCCATAAATTGTACAACATAAACATACATCTTAATAAATTTAGAAGAATAAAAAGAATGAACATTTTACAACAATCAGGACAAAAAGAAAAAGAGAGATATCCCCAGGGAGAGGGGAGGGAAGCTCTAAGTCTAGGTCATCTTCTAAGTTGCCTTCAGACATAAATTCTAACTCAGAATCCTCCAAGGGATATACCTCCTCATGAAAGGTAGGATTTGCTCCTGGAGTTGAGAGGAAGGCAGATGCTAATTTCTCAGTTGGAGATTGGCTCTCCTGCAGCAGGACAGATTTGTCCAGATGTTCTGTGAGGACAGATTCACTTTCCGGAGCTGAATCTAACGTTGGGACCTCACTCATTGGTTCCCCTGAACACAGACTGGGGACATTTTCCATCAGCCCCACATGTGCTACTCCCTCCAGCACACCAGGAGAAGTGCTGATTTGACCCTCTATGAGCTGATCTGGGCCGCCTGTGAAAGTCAGAGGAAGACAATCACTATTACCTTCTTCTTTGTTTCATCTCTGTCACATATGGGGTTCAGAACCAGTGGCATATCCACAGGACTCACAACCCGTTGGGGCCTCACTGCAAATACATGCAACCCCTCTACATGCACATGCTTTGTGGAGTCCAGTGATGGCTCCAGATCTCCATCCATCACCATCCCTGACCATCACCGAGGGCTTCTTTCTTGGCAGGTTCAGAGAAGCTGCTCTATGGCGGCCAAAGCCTGAGAAAGAGAAATAGGTAAAGGAGTTTGACAGTGGATTCTGGATGTTAAGATAGAGTTCAATTTCCATGAGGCTCTAATGGAGGAAGCTGTACAAGTTTACTTTGGACTGAACACTGATGAGAAGGTAAGGTATTTCCAAAGAGTGGCTAAGCTCAACTCCTTTCACCAATAGAACAAACACTGCCTGGCCCAGAGTATCATACAAAGATATTCTTACAACCAGGGGGGTAGTAAGGGCTCTCAGGCAATTAGGACCACCCCTAGAGGCCCAGGCGCCATCCCTACTCACATGCTCTGAGGTGACCACACAGGGACTTCTTCCTCTGTTTCTTGGTCTCATTCTTCCCGGTCTCCTCCAGCTCATCCAGAAGAATGTGGAGGTGGAGGAGCAGGTCCGAGGAGGGCATGTGGAGCATGGCATAGTTGGTAAGTTCTTTCACTGGGTGTCGGTTCTGGGGCTCTCAGAAATCAGCAGGATAGCAGTCCATCCACAAGGTGAAGACGGAACAAAGGGTGCTGTGGGCAGATTGGTGACAAGAAGAGTGAGTGCCTGCCCTCCCTATCCTGGGCCTCCCATAGCCCCTTTCTGCAAGGACTGCTATATGCACACTTGCATGTTGGGAAGCAGGAGGAGACTCCTGCAGGCAGAGTGATCTTCACCAGCCACGACTAGAAGCTTCTGAAAGATAATTCTCCAATATTCTCACTGTGATAGGTAACAAGAAAGAACTGATTTTGTACACACAGCCCTCCCTGTCATCCCTGAGAGTCCACAACCACACCACAGCTGTCTCTTCTGCCACCACTCCAATCCCAAGCCTGTGCCCCCTAGTGAAAAGCACAAGTGGTGTGCAAATGAGAAATCTGCACTTTGAATCAGCAGCCTCAAAGACACCATTTTGAACGAAGGGTCCTTTTCTTTGTGCCACAGTCCACTTACTTCTTTACTTGTTCATCTTCCTGGGAGTTACGGCCCGGGAATCTGTACCTATGGGAGGACAGGAGGAAGTCACCTCTCAGCTTCTCCTTTTTGCCCAAACAGGACATATATGGGATCGGCTCATTCCCAGATGGGAATGGAATCTGACACATAAACAACTGAGATATGTCTATACAGTTCAGTGAAAATTCTTCTATGAGAGGTATATATATTTGGTCCAAGGAAAATGTGCCAGTGGCTAATACCTCAAATTCTAGCTCAACAGGAACATGAGATCTCAGGTGCACAGTCTGATCAGACATTAGTCAGTGAAAGTCTAAAGAACTAATTTTTAAAAGACCAGAATAGCACCTATGGTTCAAAGGCTGTAGTGGTATCTCTGAGCACCAAAGAAACAGTAATCAGGCCCTGAGTTCAGGTTTCAGGACTGGCACACACACAAAATCATAAAAGCTTCAGGGGTTATAAATATGTAAAGCCAACATAATCCCTTCCCGAGGTCTCTGAGGTGATTCCACCTCCAGTTCACCTGCCTCCCCCACACCCCAGCCTTTCCTGGGTCTACATTATTCACAGACATCCAATTCCCAATGAAACCTTATTTACTCATGGGAAATGTGATTTCCTAGCACCTCACCTAGGTGAGGGCAGAAGTTGGGTGCTAGTGGCACATGCCTATAATAACAGCCCCTCAGTAAGCAAGCTTCTGAGGTTCTAGTAGCTTTTCTGGGAAATGTCCTGGGCAGACCACTACTAAGAAAGTAGGCAGGGGAAGTGGCGCTGTAGCTCAAGTGGTAGAGCGCTCGCCTTGAACTGAAGAGCTGAGGGACAGCACTCAGGCCCAGAGTTCAAGCCCCATGACCGACAAAAAAAAAAAAAAAAGAAAGTAGGCAGGGGGTGCAATTCTTTGTCTCATGCCAAGCTCCTGTGAGAAGACCCCCATGAAATCAACAGGTTCAGAGGGGTGCCAAGTATTCCACAACTCAGCAAGGAGGGGCTGAACAGACCAAGATGCGAAGGAAGGAGGAACACTCACTTTTTAAACACAATATCCAGCACTTGCTCCATTGTCCCCCACTGTCTATAATTGTGGAGGAAGTTTCCAACATAGAAGAGATCGCCTTTCTGGTAGACAGGGACCAGGTTCATCACCAGCATGTCCAGCAGGCCTGCCTCTGGGCTCTATATATTGCATGGCACATTCAGGGTCAGGCCTGACTCATTGGCACACTAAGGTGGGAAAAAGAATCAGAAAAAATGATGATAATGAGAACACTTCCAAATGAGTAATTGTGATAGAGTGGATTGAAATCTATGCAGAAAGCATTATCTCAGTATAGACAAATCACCTAAGAAGGTTCTCCTGTGGACTGCATGAAGCCCTGGGTTTGATTCCTCAGTATCACATAAACAGAAAAGTCTGAAGTGGTGCTGTGGCTCAAGTGGTAGAGGGCTAGCCTTGAGCAAAAGAGGCTCAGGGACAATGCCCAGGCCCTGAGTTCAAGCCCCCAGGACCAGCAAAAAAAAAAAAAAAAAAATCCAGGGCTGATGACAATAGCACCTCCCTGTGAGAATACAAGATTCTTTCCAACCCTCCTAGATGGGGAGAAAGTAAGTCACAAGTGAAAAGAGGGCAGAGAAAAGAGGAAGGCCAGGAGGGAATTTTTAATGCATTACCTGTGTTAATGACTTTTGGGATAGGATCAATTTCTTCATCTACAATGAATGGCTCTGGCCTGGGGAAGACCTGGACGTCAGCGGTCAGGTGGCCACACTTGAGCACAGCATGGAAAGGCGTATATGCCAGGTCTATCAGCTTTCTAGAAGATGATCATGACTTGTTAAGGGAGGAAAAGTTCACATGTGGTACACATAAAAGGACTGTACACAAAAAGTAACATTTCAAGATGTAAAGTTGGTTAAACCTTCGCACTGATTCCAAAACTAAATCTACTTGTGAAACGGAAAACATTTTGATGTTTTTAAAGAGGAAATTTCAATTGAGAGAGAAACCCCAGAGCAAGTTAAACTTGGGAACAGCTGAGTCTTTTTAAAGCATGACCACCTTATTTTACCTGAGAAACGGGCAACTGTGGGAAAATGGACTCACACTGTTAGAAATAATACAGTAACTGAGAGGTTGCCGAAATAGCTCAGTTGGGAGAACATTAGACTGAAGAAATAATACAGTAACTGTTCTTCTTGGTTGTCAAATTATAATATCAGATTGTAAAGAAGCCCCCACTCCCCTCAAAAAACAACTTTAAGGCATATACTCACCCAAACATAGACTGCACGTTTTTCAAGCACAGGGGGCCATCAGTAGTAAAAATTTGCCCTTCACCATTGTTGAGGTCTATGAGACGTTCAAGGCATTCCAGGAAATCGGTGCTCTGAAGCTACAAAGCAAGAGAGGACACCTTTAAAGTAGAACAAATCACCACATCACTACCAGCACACCAAGGCCACAGCCACTGTAACAAAATGGGCAATAAACGGTTTGCTTGGTTTGTTCTTTTGGTTCTGGTACTGGGGCTTAAACTCAAGGCCTTATACTTTTTTTTTTGTCCGTTGCAGGGCTTTAACGCTGTCCCTGAGCCTCTATGTATTCAAAGCTAGTGTTCTACCACTTCAGCCTAGAGCTACTTTCAGTTTTTTTGAGTCGTTAATTGGAGATAAGAGTCTCAAGACTCAAGTCTCAAGTGGAGCCACAGCTCCACTTCCAGCTTTTTTGGTAGTTTTGGTAGATAAGAGTCTTGTGGACTTTCCTGCCCAGGCTGGCTTTGAACCATGATCTTCAGATCTCAGCCTCCTGAGTAGCTAGGATTACGGGTGTTGAGTCGTGAGATGATTTTCTTAACAGTCAATCTCAGAAGGAAGTAACTACAGGGGCTGGGAAGGTGGCTCAGTGGTAGAGCGCTTGCCTTGCATGCATGAGGCCCTGGGTTCAATTCCTCAGCACCACATAAGCAAAAAGAAAAAAGCCGGAAGTGGCGCTGTGGCTCAAGTGGTAGAGCGCTAGCCTTGAGCTGAAGAGCTGAGGGACAGCGCCTAGGCCCAGAGTTTAGGTCTCACTATGGGACCCCCTCCAAAAAAAAATACAAATAAAGAAGTAGCACAACAATTGTTCTGTGTGTGTGCCAGTTCCTGGGCTCAATTCCAGAGCCTAGGTGCTGTCCTTGAGCTTTTTGCTCAAGGCTAGCACTCTACCACTTGAGCAAAACTCCACTTCCAGATTTTTTGGTAGTTTAGTGGAGATACTGAGTCTCATGGACTTTCTTACCTCAACTATTGCAATCTGCCTCAAGGTTACAAGAGGTACTTCATTCATAAGTAGTTCTGCAGATTCTCAGGAGACCACAGTCAGTAGCCATACAGCATCTTCCATACAACCTGTTCCTGACATGGTTTTGCAAGAGCCATCAATTATCAGCATTTTATAGAGAAAAACTGAGGTAAAGTGAAATAATTCCTGACTCAATGGGAAAAGCAGGAAGTATTTAATAAAACACATCAGAAGCCAGGTGCTGTTGGCTCATGCCTGTAATCCTAGCCACTCAGGAGGTTGAGAGCTGAGGATGGCAGTTTGAAGCCAAGCCTGAGTAGTAAAATCTGTGAGATCTTCAGCTCCACTAAACTACCAAAAAAGCCAGAAGTGGAGCTGTGGCTCAAAATGGTAGAGTGCTAGTCTTGAGCAAAAAGCTCAGGGACAGCATTCCAGGCTTTGATTTTAAGCCCCAATACCAGCACCACAACAAACAAACAAAAAGACCTATGTTCCCCCCTTCCAAAAAAAGCCCCCCCAAAACAAAAAAAACCTAAAGTATACCTCTGTCAACATTTCTGGAGGAATGGACAGAAAAAAAAGAACATCTCAACCCTTCATGGTCATCAGCACAATGGGCATCTCCAGCTATACTCTTGGAGAGGTGAGTGTTGTTATGTCAAAGAGCATGTGAAATCAAGTCTTTTCAAATCTAAATGTTATACCGTACGCAAGAGTGTTCATTGAATATACTGAAAAATAAACCGAGCCCTGGGATTTACCTAACCCATCTAAAAAGCAGTTAGCAGAAGGCAGGTAACTTCCAGGGTTGCCATGCACATGATGTATAACTTAGACGGGAAAGGGAAAGGCAGCGGGAACCTGTTGCTGTCGCTCCTTTGATTGTGTGTCGCTAGGGAATGTCGCAGGGACCCTCTACCAATGCCGAGACAGCCGTCCGTCACCAGAACGACCTGTGTGCAAAGGACAAGTATCCATTAAGCCACATGCCCAACAGCTCCACCTAGGTTTGCTTTCACTGCTACAGGAATGTGCAGGGAGCTTTGTGGGGTGATGGGTATGTTCTAGGTCTTAATTGTAGTAAGGATATACATACATGCTTCCACTTGTGAAAATCTAGCAAACTGTGTGATTTATTTGTTTGTTTATGTGCCGGTCTTGGGGCTTGAACTCAGGGCCTGGGCTCTATTTGTGAAGTATTTTGCTCAAGACTGGTGTTCTTCCACTAGAGCCACACCTCTACTTTTGCCTTTTTACTGGTTAGCTGGAGATAAAAGTCTCACAGACTTTCCTGTCCAGGCTAGAATCAAACCATGATCTTCAGATCTCTGCCTCTTGAGTAGGTAGGATTACAAGCATGAGCCCCTGATGCCTGGCTTAAGTCATGGTACTTGAACTCAGGGCCTGGGTGCTATCCCTGAGCTCTTTTTGCTCAAGGCTAGCACCCTACCACTTTGAGTCACAATTGCACTTCTGGTTTTCTGATGGTTAATTAGAGATAAGAGCCTCACAGACTTTCTTGCTGGGCTGACTTTGAACCTGGATCCTCAGATCTCAGCCTTCTAAGTAACTTGGATTATATATGTGAGCCACTGGCCCCGGGCTAAAATTATCTTTAACTAGTTATACCACAGGGTTTTAATTCAACGTCAACTGATATGTAGAATACACTTTGATCAGTGTCAACCTTTCTATCAGTTTTCCATGTACTCCAAACTTATCCATCTGAAGTTTTCTAGTCCCAGTTTCAATATGTACATTGAATATTATGACTGTTTTTGTCCACCATTCTTTTTCTCTCTCTCTGCTCTCCTTAACATCCATCCTCATAGACAAGACCAAACCATGTATTTTGAATTTGTGCATTTAAAACAAAAATGCAGGTACTAGAGCTTGAACTCAGGGCCTGGGTACTGTCCTTTAGCTTTTTCTGCTCAAGGCTAGCACTCTCCCATTTGGCCCACAACTCTACTACCAACTTTTTAGTGTTTAACTGGAGATGAGAGTTTCCTCTTTCCTGCCTGGGTTGGCTTTGAATGGAGATCCTCAAATCCTAGTCTTCTGAGTAGCTAGGATTACAGGTGTGAGCCACTGGTGTCCCACAAGAGCAAGTCTTAATGATTCTCTTCACTTTTTAGACAACTCAGTTGAGATGGTTAGAAATTTGCTGAATAACTGCTACACTGAGATAATGAAGAATAGACACTATTGTTCCGTGTTTACAATTCTACCACACAAAATTATAATCCGTCCTTCAGTGAATAGTTATCAATTCTACTGTGAGCCCTTTGTCTTTATATAAACAATATAAATTTTCAGTACATCAATTTACCAGGAAAATACTTTCCTCGAGGCATAGGTCTGCTTTCTGAACACATTAGTATGACTTAAATTCGTGTGATACGATTACAGTGATTTAATGCCTTCTTTAAAAACTGCACAAATAGTGTAAAATGTAGTTTGTTGAGTTATAACGTAGGCGGTTAGAGCCTGAGGAAAATCAACACTACAGTGGTTAATGATTTGTATGTTTTGCACATGTGCTCATGCATGTGTACATGCACTCCTAGTAGCTTAACCTCAGGGTCTGGGTGTTGTCCCTGAGTCTCTCTGTGCTCAAGGCTAGCACTCTACCACTTGAGCCACAGCACCACTTCTGGCTTTTTCTGTTGATGTGGTATTGAGGAATCGTCCCCAGGGCTTCACGCATGCTAGGCAAGCACTCTACCACTAAACCACATTCCCTAGCCCTTTTTTAGCTTTTTCATTCAAGGCTAGTGCTCCATCACTTGAGCCACAGCTCCACATCTGGCTTTTTGCTACTTAACTGGAGACGTGTCTCACGGACTTTCTAGCCTCAGCTAGCTTCAAATTGAGATCCTCAGATCTCAGCCTCTTGAATACCTAAGATTTACAGGCCAGTTTGGGGGGGTCTATATTTTCTCTTCCTTTTTTCTTTCTTTCTGGTGCCAGTCCTAGAGCTTGAACTCAGACCCTGTGCATTGTCCCTGAGCTTTTTTTGCTCAAGGCTAGCACTCTACCACTTGAGTCATAACTCTACTTTTTTTTTTTCCTTTTTTGGTTAATTGGACATAAGATTCTCATATACTTTCCTGCCTGGGCTGGCTTTGACCAGCAATCCTTGGATTTCAGCCCCCTTAGTAGCTAGGGTTACAGGTGTGAGCCACTAGTGCCTGGCTCGTTAATGATATTAACTAAGGACATTGAAAAAAACTAAGCATTACCTGGCAAGGGATCGTACCTCCCCAGTCTTGCTGAACAATGTTACAGACACCAACCAGTGCGGACTCTAGGCATGTCTTGTCGTAATTGTCCATGTTACTCAGTGCTTCCTTATTGGGCGAGAAAAAAATTGCTCATTATTCTCTGCTGTTTTGTTATTAGAAACCAATATAAACTGTACGAAGTCTGAGTATCATACAGCGAACACTGAGTTTCTGTAAGCCCCAAAGCATAGGTTCCAGACAACACACACACACACACACACACACACACAAACACAGCAAAACAGACTTCCTCAACTGTAAAGGACAATGAAATAAGCTTAAAGTAATGACCAAAATGTATGGACCATTAACCATAATCTCCTAAACACCATTCTGTGCACTTTACACGGATTTAATCATCCTACCATTGTTCACCCTACTTTTAAATGAGGAATTTTTTTGGGGGGGGGTCCGGTCATAGGGCCTGAACTCTGGGCCTGGGCGCTGTCCCTCAGCTCTTCAGCTCAAGGCTAACGCTCTACCACTTGAGCCACAGCGCCACTTCCAGCTTTTTTCCTTTTGCTTATGTGGTGCTGAGGAATCGAACCCAGGGCCTCTGGCATGCAAGACATGCGCTCTACCACTGAGCCACCTTCCCAGCCCTAAATGAGGAAATTTTTAAGAAGTGGCCTGACTCCAGAGCTTCTGCTTTTACCTCTTACACCTCATTCATTACATTGCAATTCTCTAAATTTTAGAACTGCTAAACAACAAAAAATCTTTAGCTAAATAACTTATAAGAAAACCAGTACAAGCAGAGTGGGGTGGCTTACGCCCGTAATTCTAGCTATTTGAGAGGCAGAGATTGGGAAATTGCTGTTAAGAGGCTGGCCTGGGGAGAAAATTCACAAGACTCTATTTCAACCAAAGACTAGGTGTGGTAGCACACACCTGTTATCCCCACTGACATGGGGAAGCACAAGTGGAAGGATCAAAGCCCAAACCATCCAGGGCATAAACTGAGACTATAATCTGAAAATACCCAGTACAAAAAAGGGTTGGAAGTATGACTCATGTGGTAGAGCATCTACCTACCAAGCATGAGGTCCTGAATTCAAGACTCAGTACCACCAAGAGTCCACCAGTACGATTAAAAAAAAATTTAAGTCTCATAAAGATGCAAGATAATAAAAGGAAAGCTTTAATAAAAATTAGTAAGAATTCAGCCGGGCACCAGTGGCTCATGCCTATAATCCTAGCTACTCAGGAGGCTGAGATCTGAGGATTGCAGTTCAAAGCCAGCAGGGGCAGGAAAGTCCATGAAACTCTTATCTCCAATAAACCACCAGAAAACCGGAAGTGGCGCTGTAGCTCAAGTGGTAGAGCACTAGCCTTGAGCTGAAGAACTGAGGGACAGTGCTCAGGCCCAGAGTTCAAGGCCCACGACTGACAACAACAAAAAAATTACTAAGAATGCAAACTGCATTAATCCTGCATTTCCAAATTGCCCAACAATTATTTAATTGCTCAGTTTAATTTCAGAAACACTTATTGTCTACTCACTGGCCAAGACACTGTGCTAAGAACTATAGGAGATATTAATGGTTTAAAGACATCTGGCTAGCTCATAGAACTCATAAATATTATAGATCACTACAGACAATTTGCCCCATGAAATCAGAATGTGTTTGTGATTTTAACTAAGCATCACTATCTCGCAATACAGTGAAATTTGGGAAATTATGTAATCACTTAATCACAATAAAGAATTTGAAAAAAAAAATAAAGACATCTGGCTTATCTCAGAAAAATATCTTTGAAAGACAATACCTATTAAGATTTTAAAATGACAACATTGAGCTGGGTACTAGTAGCTCATACCTGTAATCCTAGCTACTCAGGAGGCTGAGATCTAACGACATTTGACGCCACCTTGGGCAGGAAAGTCCATGAGACTCTTATCTCAATCAACCAGCAAAAAAGTTGGAAGTGGAGCTATGGCTCAAGTGGTAGAGTGCCAACCTTGAGCAAAAATTTCAAGGATAACGCCCAGGTCCTGAATTCAAGCCCCAGGATAGAAAAAAAGAAGAAAAAGAAAAATAATAATATCTTGGCATCTATAAATGAATACTATCTGTTGTAGAGTAAGCATCATTCTGAACTTTCTAGAAGAAGTTTGTGTGTGTGTGTGTGTGTGTGTGTGTGTGTGTGTGTGTGTGTGTCTGTGCGTGTGTGTTTTAATAAGGGCTATTTTTCATTACCTTAAAATTGTATGAGAAAGTAGAAAACAGCAAAATGGCAAAAAATGTTGAATTTAGGGACTGAAGCATGGTATGCTGAAATGTTCACCTTTCCTAAGAATTCCAGAAAATGGACCATGACCTTTCTCTGCTTATGTGGTGCTGAGGAATCGAACCCAGGGCCTCATGAATGCGAGGCAAGCACTTTACCAGTCAGCCACCTTCCCAGCCCCCATGACCTCTTTCTCTACCTCATAGCTTTACAAAAGAAAGGCCTAGGACCTATTGGTTATGAATTATGCTTTATAGCTGTGCATATTAAGTGCCTGTATATTTATTATTAAATAATTCTAAGGTCTAAAATCAGTACACTATTATCATACTGCTTTCTTTCCAATCAACTTGGGTCTTTATTCCTTTTTGTACCTGCAGGGTGTTATAATCTCTTGTGAAGAGGACCATCAGCTCCCAAAGCGATGAGAAAACCACTAATGCTGTGAATTCAAGCTTGTAGTTTGTGGCCATGTGCTCAAACAGCATTGTCAACCCATGGGCTGCAAGGTGCTTCCGCTGGTATTCCTCAGACCCCTCGATTGACACAGGCCGAGTCATGGAGAGGGACACGTCCATCACCACCACTGTTGGCATGGTGAACAGAATCTAAGCCAGCCCCGTCAGAATGCAGACAACAAGCTACAAATAGTGAAATGCTGTGGGGAAAAAAAAAAGAAATGTCACAGAAGGAAAGCAATATCTTTTCACCATAACTGTAACCAATTTTCCAGAAATAAGGCAAGGTGACCCCTATATAGGTCAATCTGCAGAGAATTCTGGGAGAAAGAAGACAGCAGCCTAATTCACTGGGAAGACCACTCCCAGACCCACTCAAAACACACTATCTACACCTGTGAATCAAGGGCTACCTTATTACCAGTGGGAAAAAGCATTAAAGGTAGGCCTTACTTCCAACTTTCAATTTTTATATAAAATATGTATTTATTTATATAAATATATATATACTTACATATATACATTTATGTATATATACATATATAGAGGGGGGAAGAGAGAGAGATACACACACACACACATATACACACTCGTGGTTCACAACTGTAATCCTAGCTACCCAGGAGGCTGAGATATGGGGATCATGGTTTGAAGCCATCTCAGACAGGAAAGTCTGTGAAACTTTTATCTCCAATTAACTACCAAAAAGCCAGAAGTGGAGCTGTGGCTCAAGTGGTAGAGTACTAGCTTTGAGTGGGAGGCAGGGGTAGGGGGGAGCTAGGGATCAGCACCCAGGCCCTGAGTTTGTCTCAATACTGGGGTGCATGAACGCACGCGCACACATGCACGCCCACACATGCACGTGCTTGCGCGCGCACACGCACACACACACACACACACACACTATAGCTTAATGCTGGTGGCCTGTAATACTAGATACTCAGGAAGCTAAGGTCAGAGGCTTTTATTTTGGAGCCAGTCTGCTCATCAGTCATGAACCAGCAAGTTGAGGGAAAGCATGAAGCCCTGAATACAAGCCCCAATAGCAGCCTCAAAGTAAAATTAAATAAATATATAAATAAAATGTAATTTGGCTCCTGTGAACCACTATGTTCTAAGTTTCCAACAGCTCCCTTATAATTTGAATTTTAGAATTTCACACATCCGTGCTTGGGCATTGTACCAGCAAGCAGTCTGGCTATTGTTAAACATTTTGAAGTGAATTCCAAAAAACAAACAGTGAACATTAACCTTGTATAATGTTTTTACATCTACCTAAAGTCTTCCACAATTGTATATGACACAAGCAATGTGACTATGAAGTTGTACGAAGTATACACATATAGTCCTGTAACCCACTTTCCTTAGTTATGTAATTTTTTTTTTAGCTGGGTCATTTATTTGTAACTACATGCTATTTCATTGTGTCAACAGACTACAGTTTCTCTCTCCTTTCCTTCCCTTTCCCCTTTCCCCTTCTTTCCTTTCCTTTCCGTGGTAGAGCTTGAACTCAGGGCCTGGCGCTGTCCCTGAGCTTTTTCACTCAAGCCTAGAGTTCTACCACTTTGAGCCATAGCCACTCTTCTGGTTTTCTGGTACTTCATTGGAGATGAGTCTCACAGACTTTCCTGCCTGGGCTAGCTTTGAACCTTGATCATGAGATCTCAGCCTCCTGAGTAGTTAGGATTACAAGTGTGAGCCACTGGCGCCAGGCTCCTGGGCTGGCTTTTAACTCTTCAGATCTCAGCCTCCTAAGTAGCTAGGATTATAGGCTTGACCTACTGGTGCCTGGCACACTATAGTCTCTTAACAGAGGATCAACAAGTTGTATCCACATTAGTGGGTCTCTGTATTTGTTATTTCTTTATTTTTGTGCATAGAATTTTTTTAAATTTTGTGAGTGTGCCAGTATTAAGATGGGAATCTCTAGGATTCCATCTGGGTTGGATTTGAGATGTGATCCTCTAGGTCTCAGCTTGCTAAGTAACTAGAATTAAACCTGACTGAAAACAATGTTTTAAACAGGGGGTTAGGAACACAGGTTAAACAGCAAAAGCGTTTTTTTTTAAAACCTCATAATAGACATAGATATGTTTCAAATAGGAGTTCAGCTTTCCACATCAATAGACTAACCAGAAAAAAAATTCACTCCTGAGAAGTCCCAAATGTTTAACTATTTTGATAGACAAATTTAAATTTGTCTCCCTCATCTCTGCCTCATTAAAGTTGTTGTTTGTTCAACCTAACCCTGTTAAAAATGTCATAGCAGCACCTCTCAGTCATGTTCTCTCTGTGTGTGACAGAATACGGTGTTGGATGGATGCTTGAAGAAAAGTGATTGAAGCATCTCAGCAGCTCTACAGAACACCGTCCAGCTAAGGCCTGCATCAGCGGCTCATGCCGGTCATCAACAGGAGGCTGAGAGCTGAAGATCGTGGTTCGAAGCCAGCCCTGCCAGGAATCCTAGTCCTTGAGACTTTCTTTTTTTTTAATCTCCATTAACCTACCAAAGAAAACGGGATGTGCAAGTGTGGCTCCAGTGGTAGGGCGCTAGCCTTGAGCTCAGGAACGGGCTCAGGCCCTGAGTTCAAGGCCCCAGAACCAGCGCTAGAACCAAACAAAACCCCTCAGGGGGCGAGCCTCAAAGCGTGGGCCTCGTCCGAGTCTCCCAGCCGCCGCGGAGGCCGCAGCTACCTGTCAGCCTTCTCCCGGGCAGACGTCTGGCTGCAAATGTGCTTCCATATGGACGGCCACGGGAGGTGCCCTCCCCCCCCAACAACCGACAACCAACCTCTAAAATCAATGAAAAGAATCCGAGACCTGGAAGTCCCTCCTGAGGAAAGCGGGGAGAGAGGGGCCTAAAACGGGGCGAAATGTGGCTGTTCACTCAGCGTTTGGCAGTCCCGGGTCGCGGAGCGCAGGGACCCCGGGAATGGCGCCCCAGAGCCGGCGCGGGGAGGCCGCAATGGCCGGGCGCTGGGCCTGCGCGGCTCTTCTCACCTCACCCTTCGCTTGTATCCCCACAACCGACTGAACGCGACCCTCAGGCCGCCGCCGCCGCCGCCTCCTGCCCTCACCCCAAGCCCATCGCCGGCCACAGTCCGTCTGCTTCAACTTTCCGCCCGGGCGCCACAACCGGAACTATAAGGGCCGCGGGACCCCAGGGAGCCCGAGGCTGTAGGTGTCGCGAGAGGAGCAGACCCGGCTTCGGGGGCGGGAGGGGCGGGAGGGGCGGGGCTTCAGGCTGGGCGGGGAGGGGCGGGGCTGTGGCTCGGCTGGGGCCACTAGGGAGCGCGTCCTCCCCAGCTCCTCTCCGCGGGGCGGGTAGGGGCGGGGTTAGGGGCGGGGTTAGGGGCGGGGTGGAGAGGCCCCACCCTCTTCCTCGCACAGCCCTAGGAACACAAAGCCCTCTGGAAGGCCTTAGACACTAGTTTATTTTATCTAGTGACACAGGGCACCAGAAAATTGGAAGGGGAGCTGTGACTCAAAGTAGAAGAGCATTAGCCTAGGGAAAAAAGAGCTCAGAGACAGTGCCCACATGAGTTAAAGCTCCACGACCAAACAGAGAGACAGACAGACAGACAGACAGAGAAATCCCTCATAACTCCATTCAGAAAATGTATCTGGATATCTAAGATGTTTTTCCTATTCTTTCACAATTCACTACATAGTACCACATCATCCTGATCCGCATTTGGCTAGCTGGAATCTATTTGGTGTTTTATAAATGATTCCACATGCTCCCATAGAACATGAACAGCCACACCCCCACTCACCAATGGGTTATTCTACATTTAAGCCAATAATATCTCCATAACATCTCCATGGTCAGCTGCATCATCTTTTCAAGTATAGCTGTATATGGTTTCAATAATGCACACATGGACCACCCACAACTAAACCATTTGCATAAATATAAAATGCTTTGATTCATGAAGAAAAAAATCTGCTTTGTTTAACAAATATATTCTAAATGGTCCTTATCTCCAGAGCATTTTTGAAGAAAAAAAACGCAGAATGGAACCATGAAACTCGGAATATACAATGACTAGGAATTATCTCACTTAACTAAAAAGAAATAAACCCTACCTTTAAACATATGGAAAACTCATTAAGCATTATTGCTGAGCTTTTCTGCTCAAGGCTAGCATCTACCCATTGAGCCAAACATCACTGGTCCTTGAGATACATGGCATTAACATTATAGGGTGTTTCACAAAAGACAGTTACACAAAGTCTCAACAGAGGCTCATTTTAGTGACTCATTTTAGGGTTCAGGTTGAAGTAGGTGGAGATAGAAAAATAACACTACATGTCCTGATCCCCAGAGAGACAAGACTCAGCCTTAGCATAGCAGCTGTTGTCTGCAAGCTTCTTTGCTGTTTTCTTATTCTTCAGTTGTTTCTGCTCTTGGCTGGTGCTCTGCCACTTGAGCCTGACCCCAGTTCTTTCTTTTTGAGGGTTAATTAGAGATTATGACTTTGTAGTATGATGAGCAATGAGTCATTCATACCCAGTATTGTGCCTATTTGACAAAATTGATGGCCAGGAGTTGATGTGTGAGGGGAAACTACATTTCTTTTTTCTATTTCATATCTGGACCTAATGTATAAGTCTGGCCTTTTTGCTTAAACTAATATGTAATTTTCCCATTTCTATACATCTCTTTTCCCTTGGATTAAAGCTACCATTGCACGCATTTCAGGTTTAGATGTCTTTATCTTTTGTACCAGTAGTGGAGTTTGAACTCAGGGCCTTGAGCTCTTGCTTATTTTCTTGTTCAGTGCTTAAACATACAACTTGAGCCATGCTACAAGTCCTGACTTTTGCTGGCTCAGTGAATAAGAGTCTTTCACATTTGTCTATGGGGGCTGATTTGAACCTCCTTCCTGAGGAAGGACAGGGCAGTCTGGAAGATAGAATAATTGCAATGAGCCAGGACCCCTGCCATGTCCTCTGAGTAAGTCCCTCTGAGTGTTCTTTCTTCCACTGATGATGGCTTTTACTTTTCAGTAAACCTAATGCCTATGTATTTTGTCAACTACTTTTCCACCAAAGGAGCTATTTAATGTCATTTTCAGGTGAAATTTACTTACATATTTGCACAAAGCACAATGGGTGTGCATAAACACTTGAATTCACTGTTACAAGAAAGTCCTCCATAAATTACATTTGGTCTGACATTTGTCTCAATAGACAGAAAAACTTTCAAGGACATCTGCTTTGCTATGTCCTAGAATTTTAGTAGTGGCCTGATCACCCCATGCACACATGGACTGGGTTCCTTGCCATCCCCTGTGTTTTGAGCAGTTCCCTGTATAGCCAGTAAGTTCTCTTGGACAGCTCCAGGTCACTGTGTTTTGCCCCACTTAGGACCCAGGCGTCTGGGACATAAGATTGTACACTTAAAAACCTACAGTATTTAGGATCCATAAATTGTACAACATAAACATACACATTTTAATAAATTTAGAAGAATAAAAATAATGAACATTTTACAACAATTAGGACAAAAAGAAAAAGAGAGATATCCCCAGGGAGAGGGGAGGGAAGCTCTAAGTCTAGGTTGGCTTCTAAGTTGCCTTCAGGCATAAATTCTACCTCAGAATCCTCTAAGGGATCTACCTCCTCATGAAAGATAGGATTTGCTCCTGGAGTTGAGAGAGGCAGATTCTAACTTCTCAGTTGGAGATTGGTTCTGCTGCAGCAGGACAGATTTGTCCGGATGTTCTGAGCTGCATCTAATGTTGGGACCTCACTCATTGGTTCCCCTGAACACAGACTGGGGACATTTTCCATCAGCCCCACGTGTGCTACTCCCTCCAGCACACCAGGGGGAGTGCTGATTTGACCCTTTTGAGCTGATCTGAGCCCACTGTGAAAGTCAGAGGAAGACATTTCATATTATCTTCTTCTTCCTTTGGGGTCCCTCCAGGTTCATATGTGTCACATGTGCAGTTGGATGCATACAACCCCTCTACATGCACATGCTTTGTGGAGTCCAGTGATGGTTCCAGATCTCCATCCATCACCATCCCTGACATCACTGAGGGCTTCTTTCTTGGGAGGTCAGGAAAAGCTACTCTATGGAGGCCAAAACCTGAGAAAGAGAAATAGGTAAAGGAGTTTGACAGTGGTCTCTGGATGTTAAGGTGGAGTTCAATTTCCATGAGGCTCTAATGGAGGAAGCTGTACAAGTTTACTTTGGACTGAACACTGATGAGAAGGTAAGGTCTTTCCTAAGAGTGGCTAAGCCCAAGTGCTTTCACCAATAGAACAAACATTGCCTGGCAGAGAATATCATACAAAGACATTCTTACAACCCGGGGGGGGGGGGGTGTAATAAGGGCTCTCAGACAATTAGGACCATCCCTAGAGGCCCAGGCGCCATCCCTACTCACAAGCTCTGAGGTGACCACACAGGGACTTTTTCCTCTGTTTCTTGGTCTCATTCTTCCCGGTCTCCTCCAGCTCATCCAGAAGAATGTGGAAGTGGAGGAGCAGGTCTGAGGAGGGTATGTGGAGCATGGCATAGTGGGTAAGTTCTTTCACCGGGTGTCAGTTCTGTGGCTCTCGGAAATCAGGCCCTTTCTGCAAGGACTGCTATATGCACACTTGCATGGTGGGAAGCAGGAGGAGACTCCTGCAAGCAGGCTGATCTTCTCAAGGCACTTCTAGAAGCTTCTGATAGGTAAATCTCCAATATTCACACCGTGATAGGTAACAAAAAGAAACTGATTTCGTACACACAGCCCTCCCTGTCATCCCTGAGAGTCCACAACCACACAACAGCTGTGTCCTCTGCCACCACTCCAATCCCAAGCCTCTGCTCATAGTGGAAAGCACAAGTGGTGTGCGTATGAGGAATCTGCACTTTGAAGTAGAACCCTCAAAGATCCCATTTTGCAAGAAGGGGGCTTTTCTTTGTGTCACAGTCCACTTACTTCTTTACTTGTTCATGTTCCTTGGAGTTACAGCCCGGGAATCTGTACCTATGGGAGGACAGGAGGAAGTCACCTCTCAGCTTCTCCTTTTCTGCCCACACAGGACACATATAGGATGGGCTCATTCCCAGACGGGAATGCAATCTGACACATAAAAAAGTGAGATGTGCCGGGTGCTGGTGGCTCACGCCTGTAATCCTAGCTACTCAGGAGGCTGAGATCTGAGGATCGAGGTTCAAAGCCAGCCCGGGCAGGAGAGACCGTGAGACTCCTATCTCCAATAAACCACCAGAAAACTGGAAGTGGCGCTGTAGCTCAAGTGGTAGAGCGCTCGCCTTGAGCTGAAGAGCTGAGGGACAGCACCCAGGCCCAGAGTTCAAGCCCCACGACCGACAAAAAAAAAAAAAAAAAGTGAGATGTGGGGCTGGGAAGTTGACTCAGTGGTAGAGCACTTGTCTTGCATGCCTGAGGCCCTGGGTTCGATTCCTCAGCACCACATAAGCAAAAAGAAAAAAGCCGGAAGTGGCGCTGTGGCTCAAGTGGTAGAGCACTAGCCTTGAGCTGAAGAGCTGAGGGACAGCGCTCAAGCCCAGAGTTCAGGCCCCATGACCAGACCCCAAAAAAAAAAAAAAAAGTGAGATGTGTCTATACAGTTCAGTCAAAATTCTTCTATGAGAGGTATATGCATTTGGTCCAAGGAAAATGTGCCAGTGGCTAATACCTCAAATTCCAGCTCATCAGGAACATGAGATCTCAGGGTGCACAGTCTGATCAGACATTAGTCAGTAAAAGTCTAAAGTCACTAATTTTCAAAAGACCAGAATTGCACCTATACTTCAAATGCTGTAGTGGTAGCTCTGACCACCAAAGAAACAACACTCAGGCCCTGAGTTCAGGTTGCAGGACTGGCACACACAAAAAAACAGAAAAACTTCAGGGGTTATAAATATGTAAAGCCAACATAATCCCTCCTTGGGGTCTCTGAGTTGATTCAGCCTCCAGTTCACCTGCCTCCCCCACACCCCAGCCTTTCCTGGGTCTACATTATTCACAGACATCCAATTGCTAATGAAACCTTATTTACTCAAGGGAAATGTGATTTCCTAGAACCTCACCTAGGTGAGGGCAGAAGTTGGGTGCCACTGGCACATGCCTGTAATAACAGCCCTTCAGTAAGCGAACTTCTGAGGTTTCAGTAGCTTCTC